AATTTAGAAGAAATTATTTAGGTCGAATCAGACAACAATGTACACATGCTAGTAGGAGTGAAAAAACTATATTTGCTTATAATTTCACATTTTACACTCTTTGGACTTTGAGATAACAAAAAAAAAATGATAAAAGAAGGAAGATTCAAAAAGATTTAATACGGGCACAATTTGAACCGGTAGATAAAAGTTACGAAAGCCTTACTAGGTCGTTAATAACAAACTTGAATTTAAGTATGTGAGTAATATTTATTTCTATTTTTATATTGAGGAGGTATTTCTTTTATCATCAAGTCAACTCCATATCTGTCATGCTTTTTTGACATAAAAACCATTATCTCTAAAGCTATGTAAGCTTTAAACATAACTGAAGACGCATAATATACAATAAAAATAATAATATTTATACCCCATGTTTTGAGTACAGCCGGACTGATCAGATTTTTACAACAAAAAACAAAATGGAAACAACGTCCATGATTAAATTGATCTACCCGTGACGTCATCAATCACCAAACCTAATGATGTCATGTAAATTCAGGCGAAGTTATTTCTTTGAGTGTATATTCTGGTTCGCTGGCGCGTTTATCATTTGTCATATCTGCGGAACTTTTTACTTTCATTTGAAGTTATTTGTGAGAACTGAAGAAGAACAGTTTTCTAAGTGGCAGAGCCGTCTACCGACATTGCGTGAGGCGCGAGAGGTCCAATGTTCGAATCCTGGGGCAACAATACAATGTTTCGGTCAGGCAAGCTATAAAAGTCTGACTGACTTTGACCAATTGACACATAATTTTTTCTTGCCCCATGCTCTACGGGGGAAAAGGAATTTCACGATTATTTATTTATTTATTTATTTATTTAATTCTTTATTGCAACACACAAGTACACAATATATTTCCTTAAAAAAAAAAAAAAACGATTCCTTAAAGTTAAAACGATAAATTATTTTTACTAGTTATGGAGTGCAATGGGCGGCCTTATCGCTTTAGAGCGATCTCTTCCAGGCAACCCTTGTGTAAAATTAAATAAGATATATCATAGGAACGTGCAAGATATGCGAAGCTTAACAATACACAAAAATGATTATATACACAAAAATTTAAAAAGTACTAATTTTGTGAATGGGATATTGACAGATAATGCTTATAGAGGAGATGCTTAAAAGATGAAAGTGACGAGGCTAAACGGATGGAGACAGGAAGCAAATTCCATAATCTTATCGCTGAAATCCTAAACGATTTACCAAAAAAGGAAGTATTATGGGAAGGAACTTCTAAAATAAGTCTGTCGGAAGAGCGTAGGCTATAGTTGAGAGGGCACAGAAACCTGAATTCATTTTTTAGGTAGGAAGGAGTATTAGGATTAAAGAGAGCAGTGTATAAGAGGTGTAAGATATGAGCATTGCGCCGAAGTCGAATTGGAAGCCAACCGAGCTGCTGACGAAAAATACTTACGTGGTCATATTTTCTCAAGCCGAAAATGAATCTTATGCAGAAGTTTTGCAGGCGTTCTAGCTTATCTAACAGATCTTCATTTAAATCTGAGGTACAGGCATCGGCGTAATCGAGTAAAGGCAGTAATAGGGATTGTGCTAGCATAATTTTAGTACTGATTGGAAGGAAGTGGCTGAGACGTCTGAGGATGCTTGATGCGGCGTACAATTTTCGACTTATGTTTTTAATATGTGGAGCCCAAGACAAGTTTCGGTCAAATGTTATGCCTAGATTCCTTACAGTTTGGCAAAATGGCAAAGGCACACCTTCTATGGATACTAACGGTAACCGTGCCCAGTCGAGCCTTCCAATGTAATAAGAACTACCAAGGATAATAACTTGACTCTTATCGGGATTTAATTTCAGACCGTATTCCTTGCTCCATTGGGCCAAACGTGCAAGATCATCATTAATGGCCTGTATGGCTAGCGGGAGCTCTTCTGGGCTTGACTGAACGTAAATTTGGAGATCGTCAGCATAAAGATGGAAGTGAGAAGTAAGACGAGAGGTTAAGGAGTTTATATAGATAGAAAATAGGAGGGGAGATAAGACGCCGCCTTGCGGAACCCCTGCAACGACTGGATTCCATTGGGAATACGAATCGTTGCTTTTTATGCACTGTCGTCTCCCGACTAGATAATTAGAGAACCAATTGATAGCAGTAGAAGAAAATTTTATCGTTTGCAGTAACTTAAGTAGAATTTTGATATTAACGGTATTAAAAGCATTACTGAAGTCGAGCAGAGTGAGAATTGTGAGTTTCTTATTCTCCATGCCTAAACGGACATCGTCGGTGACTTTTACGAGCGCCGTAGTTGTACTGTGACCGGGCCGAAATCCAGACTGCCGTGGGTCCAATATCCTGTATTTATGTAGATAATTACTGAGTTGCACATGGATCAGACGTTCAAGCACCTTGGATAGAAAGGGCAATATAGAAATGGGTCGGAAATCAGAGAAGGAACAAGGATTCGATTTTTTAGGGATAGGAATGATTAGAGAGTCCTTCCATGACACGGGGAAGTCACCAGAAGTAATTGGGGTATTAAATATATGAGTAATGATGGGAAGTATAATAGGAAGAATAAGAAGAATCATGGAACGACCAATCTGATCACAGCCTAGAGCATTGGAAGAAATAGATACTATGCAATTTTTTACGTCATGTTCGGTAAAATTACTAAAAGAGAAGGAAGGCGAGTGAGAGACGGAGAGGGATGGCAGGCAGTCCAAGTTAATATAACTACTGGATGGAGATGAAGTAAAATGTGTATTTAGTTTATCTAAGTCGATGTCAGGAGAAATAGAACTTCTTTGGGGATTACCAATCCCCAGAGATTTCAGGAATTTCCAGGTTTTGGATGGATCCCCATTAGAAACTGCATTGTGTATGTGGCGTCTTTGGGCATCGCGACAACGCGTGTTACACCGGTTACGAATTATCCTGTACTTCTCACGTTCCGTGTCTGTATTTGCAGCACGCATTTTGGCTTTCGCGCGGTTTTTTTTATTTATCAGGACTTTTATTTCATCGTTCAGCCAAGGAGAAGGTAAATGTTTCAAACGAACAGGTCTTAGAGGAGCGTGGATGTCTAATAGAGAGGTAACTATGTTGTTTAATAAAGAGACTTTACTATCTAGGGAAGAACAGTCATAAACTGCGTTCCAATTAATCTCGGACGCGTCTCCAAGCAGCCGCTCAGTATCAACACCATTTAAGTTGCGACGTAAAACTACGGAAGGTTTGGCTTTAGGAGGCTTGAGGTTGTAGGAGGCAAAGATGAGATCATGATAAGAGAAAGAAACTGCAGGTAATTGGCCATATTTTGTGACTAGATTTGGAGAAGAGGTGAAAATAAGATCCAGCAAAGAAGGAGTGCAGTTGGGAATTTTATGTGTGGCATCAAGTGTTAAATTATATAGGTTAAAGGAGTTGGTAATGGATAACAGCTTTTTAGCCCGGTGGTCGTCCTTGATTAAGCAGGTATTGAAATCTCCCATTATTATTATATTCTTATACAAAGGGACGACGTTCTCTAAGGTAGTTTCGAAAGATGAAAAAAAATCTACTGTAAGAGAGGGTGAATAGAAAACACCAAGTAAGAATTTATTTGCAGATAATGAAACTTCAATCAGAAGATGCTCGGCAGCGTTAGAAGGAGGTGGCTGCGGTGATTTGCTGATTATGGAAAAGGGGATATGCGAACGTAAATAAACAGCAACACCTCCTCCACGCATATCGACTCGATCGTTCCGAATGAGGTTGAATCCAGGGATTGAACAAGTAACTGAGGAAAAGGTTGGGTTTAGCCAGGTCTCAGATACAAGAACAGCATGAATGTTTTTTGAGACAAAGGTAGAAAGTAAATCCAAATGATGAGCAGGAATGCTCTGAGCATTTATATGTGCGACATTGAAGTTTTTAGGTAGATCTTTAAACAGCAAATCGAGAGAGACATCAAGAGGAAAAGAAGATGAGTTAATACTGTGGAAAGAGTCATCATCGGAGGACGAAACGGACAAAAACTCGGAAGCATCACTATCGTGGTTCATAATTACAAACAAGTATCTTTATGTATATAAAAACAGAATATCTACTACTACTATTATTCACTAAAAATATTATAAAAAAAAAAAAATAACTACAACTAATTACAAGGCACTTAAATAATAAAAACAAACTACTTCTAGTACATGCGCACATATCCGCTTTTGTATTAGGATAAAATGCTAATTACTGAAAGCTTGAAAAATGCATTAATATAAAGTTTATAATTAATTTATACTAATACTATGGTTATCTGCTTTGCTTGTATCGAATGGCAATAAAAAATAGTTTAACTAGTAACAAATTGTAAATACTAGCAATTAGGCAAAAAAAAGAAAACGGAGTACAAATTACTCATTGTTAAAAATGTTGCGTTATATTATACTCAGCAGGATAATATTACAATAAAATAATAATATTGCCTAGATTGTAAATATAATAATTTTTAGTTTCAAATGATTCAACGGACTCAAATCGTTACTGTCCGATTACCTAACGCAGTGGCCATAGTATTAGTCAAGTAAGGTATTCGTTACATTAGGTAGTCGGTACTATGGGTGACATTAATATTGACGATATTGACATTGACATAATCTATGAATATACATTACAATGTAGAGAATAATCTGTGTGTCAATGGACTCATGCGTCAAATGAGCATAAACACAAAGTTTAACGTCTGTGATTGTATTATTATATTTATGTTACATCTGTGCTAAGCGTTATCAATGACACAACAAAAAAAATTATTCTGAAAAACAAAACAAAGCGCACATCTTATCACCCATCTTGTCAACATTAATAATAAATGTTATAAACACATATAAATACGTATCTAGATATTTTTAGCCATTCGAAGTACAAAAACAAATTAATGTCGACGCTAAAAAGCTAGGCCGAAACACAACACTCACACAAGCACTACACGATAACCGAAAGACACTGAAAGGATGGTCTTATTGATCCTTTGTAGGGACCTTCTTGCGACCTTTATCCTTAGACTGTTGGGACGGCTGAGGCAGCTGGGCACTTGCACTCGCTGGAACGCTAGCGACGGCGCCATCAACATCCTTCTTATCGGAGATACGGTGCCGCTCCCCGTCGGAGCGTATAGCGAATATGTTACCATCGCGCGTCCAACAACTACTAACTCCGAACTGTCTTCTTGCAGCCATAAACAAATTGTGGCGGCTTTTGGTAAGAAACTCCGATAGGGTAATGCCTGTGCCTTTGAGATGGGTTTTAGAGGACCAGACTTGTTCTTTCAGTTGATGCTGACGAAACTTGATGAGCACCGGCCTAGTCTTAGCGGCCCTCTTGATACCCAACCTGTGGCATCTGGATATACTGTCAGCCGATACATCCGGGCACTTCAGCAGCACTGATAGCATTTTGGCTATAGAGGAAGGACTTTCGTCCTTGGACTCCATGACGCCATGTAAAAGAAGAAACTTACGCCTGGATCGCATTTCCAGGTCGTCCTGCAGCTTGTACAGCATTTCTACTTGGACCTGGAGATTTTGAAGACAAAACAATATTGATGATTTGAAGGCTTCAAACTCTGTTGCCAGTAAATTGTTGCCTTGTGAGGATGGCGTCCCGCTGACATTATCCAACCGCTGTTGGAACTGCTCCATCTTAGAAGTAAATAATTCCGATACGTCGGACACTGTTTTTCTGAGTTCCTCCATTATTTTTTATGCCACTTGTAGGTAGGAATTGTTAAAATTGTCACGTATTATGTGAAAAAATTATTTGTAATAATGAAATAAACAAGGAAATTAGCGGAATTGATGCTATTGCGTTTTAGTACATCGCTAAAGAGGTAATAGTGTAATTTAATTACAATCCAAACACTTTAAATAATTAAAAATATCACTATCACTTAAAAGTGTACGTTCAGCCTTAGCTACCCGCCCGCTAATGACTGAATTTCACATATTACAGGACATATTAGTCCAATCATATAATGAATGATTATATGATTGGACTAATATGAAATTTGCATATTCTTCTAAGCAGGTTGATCTAGTAGAACTATTATGTTATCTCCATGCGTTCATAGTAGGTGTCCATTTTTTATAACGACGATAATTTAGTTTATTGTACGTCTTGCCAAAACGAAACTATTATATCTTCCGAACATCCAAGCTAAGCTAAGTCAGGTCCTGGGTTTGAACACAGGACCTGACTAGCTTGGCTCAACTCATTACAGAGACGTTTTAAAGTATAAAGAACGATGACATATTTCTTACTCTCCTGACATTTACATATACCATATCTTGTTTCATATTTTACGTTATTGCTTATTGAATAACACAGACATAATTATCAATATTACTATCGTATCGAAATTGATTATCCTGTCATAGATAGCTCAGTTATTAGACAAGATCAAATATACGATGCTAATTACCTCGCAGATAGTAATCCTAGGATAATTAAGCCGGCAATCAAGCGGGAGTCAATTGACATAGGACATAATTATTGGACCAAATACAATTTATGATAGTTCGTTATATAGCTCATTAACGTTGTTTTTATTTGTAACTAGCCGTGCATACGACTTCGTCCGCGTGAAGTTATTTTTGGAATCAAATGGTCAGGCGAAGCTAAAGACTTTATAAATTAGCACCCACGATGTCGCTTTCGCAAGTTAATTTAAATAGATAGACATACACTGCCACGAACATATTTTTACATCATTCAAAACTAAAAATCATTCGGTTATACATATATTTTGGTATCTTTTACGTTTTCGGAGCGCAAGTACGGAAAAAATGTGATATTCGTAGTCCAAGATGAATAATATTCCCCGTTTTCTTCACATTTTCCACTGTTTTTTGTTTTACTCGACTCGGTTATAATATATATACACTTTGTTATAAATTTAAAGACTTACTCGGTAAATGGTTTGTCCAACTCGAAAATGTTTATATTTGTTTTATTGGAACCAGTTCCTGAGATTTTCGCGTTAAACTTGTACAAACAAACTTTACAGTACTTTACGGCTCAGTGGTCCAAACCTACATGCTCATGAGTTTCTTTCTCATTACTTCCAAATGTTTTTAAAATTTATTTATAATTTCTCTGAGTATACCACTGCTACTATTAAAGCTTTTATTTTAAAATGTGTTTTAATAGTTGATTAAGAAACATGATAATAATGATAATAATAATGTGAGAACGACAGACAGACAAGCTTGGGTTCACTGGATAGTAATATAAATAATGGAAAACATAACGCAGACAAATAAAAACTTCAAGGTTTTTATTTGTCTTCTTCTTCTTCTTTCTGGACGATGATTCATGCCCCGGACGATACGTTCGATATTTCTACTACACATTTAGTCCGCCATTTAATATCCAAATATCCAGACGAAGTCAAACGTGTTTCTAAAAAAATAATAAATTGGTTAGGAAAATGTTGGTACTAGTGGGGTTCGACCTCACGACTCACTGATGACGTCTACGAGCCCGTAAATATATAAAAAAAGAAGCGTTATATTCATATTTGCATTTTCAACGGAAACAATAAGTATTAATCTAAGCATGTAAGTGCCCTATTCAAATTCCGATACTCCATCAACACCTCACAAAAGACTGGTCATTTAATTCTCTCATACTGAAAGTGGACTCCATTATCAATTAAAATAACAATGTTATCCATTATCAGTTGTATAGCTTTATCAATCCAATCTGCATATATAATGAAAGGGTGCAAAGATGTCCCCATAGTGGCCTATTGTTGGTCAGCTCCGAGTAATGGGGTCCGATAAATTGTTTCCTTGATTAAGTGGACCAGAGTCGCAAAATGATTAAGTTAATAGCTATTATCTATAATTTAAACAAGTATTGTCTGTAGTTTACACGAGGAGACCACGGTTTCTGCTAAGCATCTGAAACGTAGTAGTTTAAATAAATTGTAAATAAGTTTAAGTAATATATTTCGTGTTTAAAACCGTTAAAAGTCTTTAAATAATACACTATTATATATTATAATGTAATACATGATTTTCTAGCCTTATTTGTATTCACAGAAATGTACCTTCAATTGTATGGGATAGCATAAGGTACAATAAAATGTGTTATTTTATGAAATAAAAGGGATAACGACACACCAGGTAAGGAAAAACAAGGTAACATTGTTCTCTTTATTATTTATAATATTCGTTTTTTATGAGTGATTGATAAATATTTGCTTATATTACTTAAATAACATGACAGAACTTAAATCCTCAGTAAAAATAATAAATACACAGTTACTGGCAAGCAACCAAAACGTCGAGCCGCATTTAAGTGAAATTAGAACATTAAGTAACTAATATAATTCACGTTTTGAATCGTTAAACGTGTCTTGATAATTTTTTAAAAGTTACCCTGTCAGAGAGTTTAAAAATATACAGTATATTTTTTTAGACCGTCCAAATCTATAACTTCTCCATTAGAGATATTTTGTGGCAATAAATCGTAAATTAAGTCCACTTCTCAACCGCGTAACCCTTGAGATGCATGTCGAATCAACGGTGTTTTATTGCACGGAAAATGCTTAGAAGGACTAACGGAGATTCTTGCTTCAATGCCTTGGTTTGGTCCAAGCCAACACAGATTTATAATTTGGAATAAAATAATGAAAAAGTTTCTTTGTCTATAAAAAATGTGTATGAAAGTCATATTATATCCAGCTTTGCTATTAAAATAAATTTAAGGTCAATAGATATAACTTCCATTTTGTGTTATATTCAATTTTTGTTTAAATAACTACTCGCCTAAGTACTACCTGTAGTACAGGAGTAGGACACATCATAAAACATTTCTACCCCGTGACCACAGTTGCTGTGAAGCATACAAAACGTTGTTTAATTAACTGTGGATACCTTTCCAATTACATAAACTTCGAGTGATTAATAGAATTCCCTATAAGCTTATGCCTTACGCGAAACATTTGCAAGGAAATCAGTTCAAAGGAAATACAAAAGCGGTAAAAATATCAACGTCCTCGACAGAACCCTTGACCAGTTCCTGACGGTAAATTTAGCATTTTTCCATTACATGGGGTCGACTTACCCCTTCCGTTTGTCCATTCACTGTACAACACTTACTAATATGGAAAGGAGAAGGCGTTCTACCCTTTCCTCTTGTATTATTTATTGTACATGCGTGTAATATAAATAAATCGTAGTTTAAGCTCCATTAGCTTTGATTTGTGGAAAAATATGACGCTTTTTGGTAATTTATAGGAAAATAATGCTGGCCATTTTGATAGGTTACACTAGCTTTACATTTTAAAATAAAAATACAACAATATTACTTTCATCTGTAGTGCCGATATCTTGAAATATAGTATATTGAATTTCCTTGAAAAAGATCGATGGAAAATCTACAAAAAATAGCCAACACGCTTTTTATGGATTTGTGAACCTAACCGTATATAACATTAGATAAGAATGCCCTGACGCGCGGACTCTTGGGAAATTAAAATACTTAAACCTGTATGTACACCTACATTTAAATAAAACTTATTTATATTTTATGTTAACTACGGCCGGACGTTTAGGATGCAAAAAATCCGAAACATCGGGTAGTTGGACCCGTTAGTTATTATGTATGTAGTACTATAAAGATATATAATTTAGTAATAAAATGTTATTATATAATTATAATACTATTAGATCGAGCAGTTTGACGTGTTTAAAAAATTTTATAAAACTTAAGTTTATGGAATAATTTTGACTTAATTATTAGTTATATGAATAATTAATTTCCCTTTAAACATGCCTAGCAAAGAGCGTTTTACATAGTACTAAGATTTTAATATGAGTCAGGCAAAACATTTCAGGAAACATAAGTGGTACAATTGACCCAATAAAACACACAAACAAATTCAAGTGCAAGTGAGCGCTGAACTATGTCACGTAAATTGTATTTAATTAACCTGAATAAATATAGGTCGAAGACGCGAGTAAGCGAGAGGTAGTAAAAAATAGGGCATTGTAAGTGATTTTGCTAAGGGTTACTTATGTGAATCTAGAACTTGCTAATGCCGCCAAGTGCAAGAGCAAAAAATTTTACTATTCTGATGGAAATATCAACAGATTATTTAACGAATAACATAGTAAAATTAAGTATATTCAAACAATAAAGAAGTTGTTACTTAAATACTGACTGTAGTTTACGCGAGTCTACATTTCAATAATACACTTTAACGGTGTAAAACGCGATATATATAAGTTAAACTTATTGTTACTAGACCCGTTTAAGTAGGTACAGGTATTAACTGTTTTAATGGTAATAATGTCTTAGGATATAATAATTAAAAATATATTGCTATTTTTATCACACCATAATCGTAACATCAGATTATTTTTAACTTTTTAATTTAAATGCAAATGGCGGACATATATAGCCGCCTCGCGCTCACTGATAGATATTTTTTTCAAACACCAGTACTAAATCCAAGACCATTTATAGTGTTGTCCCGGGATTCGAAACTAAGACCTACCGCCACCAATAACTTAACGGTTGACCTATGGTCGCGGTATTTTTTCATATATCAGTAAATTTTTTAGTTTTAAATAACAGTCCATATAAAACATTCTCATTACACAAAAGGTGATTACGTAAAAGCTTTGGCGCAAGTTCTTTTTCATGCATTAATCACTTCAGCGACAGAGTATAAAATATGAGATGG